TATTTAAAGGGATATTTTTTGCAAATTATAAACGTATTAAAAAAACGTTTATTTAAATAGAATATTATATTATTTTTATACGTATTATAAACGTAGATGAAATTCTGGTGTTACATAAACTATTTTCCAACGTATAAAGTACGTTTCGTATTAAACATACGTAGTAAAAACGAGTGTTATAAACGTATATTACACTATCGTATAAAAAACGTTAATTCTATATACGTATATGCCATATACCTATACCAGTTTTATACCATACTTACGTTTAATATACGTATATAAAACGATACTGTTCTTATTAGGTTAGATAATTAATGCACTTAGAAATGTGGTCCGTTTTAAAAATGTCTAAATTTATAATAGCATGTTGTGTTTTACACAATTTGTGTATTGTTAATAATGATAATTTAGAATTTTTAGAATATGTGGAAATACATGATACTGAACCAAATGAATATATATTATATCCATTACAACAAAGAGAGGCTGGTAAACAAAAAAGAAATCGATTAGCTACAAAACTTATGGAAGACATTACTTTACATAGGGTACATAGGGACACGTAATATTAATTTAATTAAAATTACATTAAGATAATATTAATTACGTTTTTTTTTTCAAAAGTTGATTTTATTTCAAAACAGTTTTTTAATTTATAAACTTTGTGTACGTATTTTATTGAGTTGATAAAATAAACGAAATGTAGTAATACATAACATAATTAGTACACAACATAATAATGTAGTAGTATGTAATTAACGCAACAAAATCACTTTGTAACTTAATATTGCTTTGTAACTCAGTATTTTTTTAGAAATAATATATATGAAGTTATTCTAATATCCTATTCATTTTCTATCTTATTTATTATTCCAATATCTTAAATCTTTAACCTTATTCAGAACTTGAATCTTTTGCTGGTTTTTCCAATAAAGATATTAATAAATTACATATTTCTTTATGATGTCGATCTTAATTTATAAACTTTGTGTACATATTTTATTCAGTTGATAAAATAAACGAAATATAGTAATACATAACATAATTAGTACACAACATAATAATGTAGTAGTATGTAATTAACGCAACAAAATTACTTTGTAACTTAATAGTGCTTTGTAACTCAGTCTATCTTATTTATTATTTCAATATCTTAAATCTTTAACCTTATTCAGAACTTGAATCTTTTGCTGATTTTCCCAATAAAGATATTAATAAATTACATATTTCTTTATGACGTCGATCGTAATTTATAAACTTTGTGTACATATTTTATTGAGTTGATAAAACAAAATAACATAATTAACGCAACAAAATCACTTTGTAACTTAATATTGCTTTGTAACTCAGTCTATCTTATTTATTATTCCAATATCTTAAATCTTTAACCTTATTCAGAACTTGTATCTTTTGCTGATTTTCTCAATAAAGATATTAATAAATCACATTTTTCTTTATGACGTCGATCTTTGTTTTCTTCGACAGTGGTTGCTATTTCTCGCAGAACATTCTCCAGCGATTGATTAGATTTTACTTTCTTTTTTGGTTTATCAGATTCAAATTTTTCATCACTATCATTACTTATATCATATGTCTCAATATTCTTATTGCTAAACTCTATTTTTTTTTATTTTTTTTGTTTGATTGACGCCAACTAAAACTTCAGGTTTCAAACTATCATCTATATTTTTAATTTTTTTCAAACTCACTGCCATAAGGTACTTCGGTAGGAGCATGTCCGGAAACTTTATTACCAGATAAGGCATTTTTATGCTGCCTACTAACATTTTTATATTTGTTAGAATATTGTGGTCCAGTAACTCTTATGTTAAATTGTTGATACAAGTCTTTACTTATTTGTTCAAATATAGCGGCTTTATTTTTAAAAACTCGAAATAGACCAATTTGTGGAAAATATAGACAGTATTGATCGAGTAAATACTTTGTTTCTTTTTCATTCCATTTATGTGTTTGATTGATAATGATGTAACTATTTTCATTTTCTTTGTCGCATTGAATATTACAGGTTTCTCTATTCTGTGTACCTAAGAAAAAAATATAATATAACTATTTTATTATAATAAAATTTAATAAAAATTAATTAAAAAATTTATATACTTATAATAAGCAAATTGACTAATACAAAGATTAATTAATAAAATATTAATTAATAAATTTACCTGATGATGATGCCGAGTCATCAAATACATTAAACATAAGACCTATTGATTCCAAATAGGTTGTGGATATAAATTTCATTTCAGTTTCACCTAAAACAAAAACAGATGTTTAGTTTATAATACTACGATTTTTAATTATTGCGAGATATAATGTTGTTATATATATTAAATTTGCAATTATCTTACTCTAACCTTTATTATTTCTAATTTCACATAAAATACCTTTATTATTTTGAATTGTTTTATTATTATCATAGATAATCCTTTTTACTAACATGGTTCAATATCTGTAAAAAAAACATTTTATTATTAATATATATTTACATACAACATTTACATCAGAAAAGCATATCTAACCTAAAGCATATCTAATCTAACTTAATTTTCTTTTCCCAATACAATAACATAAATAACAATGAACTTACATGACACTTACTGGATAATATAATATTATTTTCCTGGATATTGTAATATTTATTTTTAATTATAGCGGATTGTTTATGGGTCGAACATGGGTTGATATTTCGATGAATCCCTAGTAACCCGAGGCAGAACGTGTGACGTCATTAATCGATCTCGGGTCGATCAAATCCGCTTCAATCGAAAACGCTATTAGACGTATGGCCTTCTCCCAGCTGTTGCCCTCGACCCCCAGGAATGTGTCGTCTGCAAAGCCATTCAGCCAGCAGCCTAGGGGGAGGGCGGCGCGTAAGACGGGGTCATATCCTAGGTTCCACAGGAGCGGCCCCAGGACCGACCCCTGCGGAACACCCCGCACGACCCGCCTCACCCTCACCCGTTTGGTTGTGCCCTAATGTTGGAGTGGGCGTTCGCCCCAGATGAGGCACGGCTCCGGGTGCGGTGGAGCGGTTGGCGTGGCCCCCACGGGCCGGCTTTCTTCCACGCAGGTGGTGTTCCCGGTGGTGTGTAGGACTCGCGGTATTCGAAGTCCGCGTCCTCGGTCCGGGTAGCCTGTGTCTACGGCGCTTGGAATACACGCCTGGGTTCCTCTCTCGGTGGTCGGTGCCTCCCACTCACTGTCCGTTTGCGTCTCTGCTCCGCTTGTAAAAGGCTGAATCTGGAGGCCTCGGTGGACCCGTGACTGTGGCACGGTCTGGGTGCCCTGTGAGCGGAGATCTCCTGGTGACACAGGTAGCGGTGACAGCAAAGTCGGCACCGTGTACCGCGGGGACGTGTAGCGGCGTAGGCGAATGTCCCACGTCATCAGATGCGCTCTCGGTGGGCGAGTGGGTGGCCACGGCGGTGATTCAGTCGTATCAATTTCCACGCGACGGACAGGTGTCCCTGCGGCTGCACTGGGTAGTTAGGCGGCAGCGACGAGCGGGAAGTCGGCGGCTTGGTCTTGCCGTACTTTCGCAGCGTGGTTTACTCCAAAAGGCTTCTTCCGTGCTGGATTACAGCTTGTCGAAGAAAGTCGAAAGTACCGTCGCTGCCCGCCTTTATATACTCTCCTGGCCGAACTTTCGGTAATTATTTACAAAAAGACCCCACTCGCCAATGACCTTGACCTTGACATATGTTGTCAAGGTCACCCTCCGGAGTGACCTTCAGAAGGTTTTAGCCGGCGGTCGTTCTTTATTAAAAAGTTATTAACAAAAAAAGTTTGAAAAATATAGCAGCTATTTTGAGTATTGGAAGGCATAAATGACTAATATATATGTCGAAATAGTTCACGCATACACTTTCCACGCGAACCTAGGTCCACCCCCACCCTCCCCCTGCTTTCGGGGGAGGTGCGGTAGTCCCGAAATAGTTCACGCATACAC